GCTGAAAGCAGGGTCATTGGATCAGCCGGATTGGACGCGTTTGACCAGTGCTTTGTCCAGTCAAATCTTGAACACCCCCAAAGATGGAGACTTCATAGCCTCAGTGGGTGGACTGTTCCAATGTCTGACTGTCCTCACAGTGGACTTATCTCTTCCTTATATTGACTCTAAACTTCTCTACATTGAATTTATGCCTGTTCCTTGTTGTCCTTCCACCTTGCTCCCACCTGGCTCTGTCTCCTCCATGGCCTTCGGGGCGTTGCTGTCAGGTCCCCCCCAAGGCCATCTCATCTCAGACTGAAGAAGCCCCGGTCCCTCAGCCTTTCCTCACATCGCAAATCCTTCAGTCCTGACCACCCTGGTCGCCTTCCCCTGAACTTACTTCACTTTATTCATAGCTTTCTTGTATTGTGTAGCTTGAAACGGGACACAGTACTCTAGAAAATAACTGACTGTGATACAGTTTTTAAGGAAGAATGCACTTGCTAAGAAGATGAGACACCTAAATATTTAGGTAACAAAATTCATAAATCTGCCTTGTGATCAACATCATCCCAGAGACTCTCTACAGATGGCTTTTTTCTGCCTGCAGAAAGAGGTACAGGACCATAGCGTTCTTGTCCTTCCAATTTTAACTATCGTTGTTTTGAAAGTCACAGCATGTGCATAACACTCTGCTGCTTTACAACAATTTACAATAGGACTTGCTTCTCCAGACGCAGATGAAGAGTTGATAACTGAGGATTTCTCTGTTGCCTAACCTAGACAGAGGAGCAAAAGCAGAAAACTGATTTGATTTCTGTCAGTGTCAAAGCCAAGTCCAAAGCTGTGAGCTCTTGATGCCTGTGCTTTACTTTTGAATCACTGGACCACACCTAAATTCCTCATAGTATACACTTAAAAGCTGAATATTATTTTATGCCTCGTTAAGGGCACAAAAATGTGGATTACTGCTGAAAATTCCAGTTGTGTTTGGCAGAGCATACTTAACACCTTGAAGGCAAGCTGCCCCATCTGAGGTTGTGCCAGAAGGCTGGAGAACGGATGAAACAGCGTAGCTGGCACCTTGGGGGAACGGGGAGGGACACGGAGTGGCAGTTTTCAGCTCGCTCTATTTATCTTTAGTGATAACTTACTCTGGTATCAGAATGATAACCTGTAACAAAGTCTTCTTTTGTCATGCCTGTATATCTGTTTGTAGATACTTGTGCTTTCATTCTGAAAAGCTCTTGTTTTATCATGCCTGCCTATATGGCTGGGTGGATCTGTTAGTTGTGTTTAGGGGCTGATCCAAGTTATCCAAGCTACATCATAATCAAGAAGCTCAAGATAAAATTCTCTGCTTGTACCTTCTGTAACGAAATACAAATTCAGCTCTTTTTAGATGGTTTGTATAACCTTTCTTTCCCTGTTGCTGTTGCTTATATTTCAGAATATGGTATTGCAGTTTTGGAAGCAAACTTCTGTCAGAAGGCTGCATATACGTGTGCATGTATGTCATTACAAATGTGGCAATGATAGTTTTTGGCCTCAATCAAATGTTTGTTTTTTAGGATGTGAACACCTGCAGAATGACCACGGTGTGATAGTTGATTACAATACCTCAGACCCACTAATACGCTGGGATTCCTATGAAAATGTGAGCCCTGATGGGGAAGGTGAGTAATTTGGTCATGTGAGACCAAGGCAAAACCTTTCACAACAGTGCCAGAGCATTTGAAAGGGAGGAAGGGAAGCTCGTTTGCTTGTGTCTAGCTGCCTACCCTTCGCTGTTTAGCTTTAGCAGGTCTAATGCAAAGAAAACTGTAGTAGTTGTTTAAGAGAGATTCTTGTTAATGCGCTGAATTGGATTGACACACAACTGGTTGATACAAGGTACTTTATTATTTGTAAATTTGCTTAAAAAAAAGTTTGTGTTCTGAAGCTTCTAGTTGGAATCCTAATACAGAATTTTAAGAACAAGAAAATAACGTGATGAGTTTGTAACCTGAAGTACTTACTCGGTTATCTGGAGTGTTGCTGGAGGTGCGCTAGGCTATTGAGTTAGCAAGCAGCAAAGGATGTGCGTATTTGAATATTTCCCCTCATAAATTTCCCTGTTTCTGAATTGCTCTTTTATTTCTTAGATTTTTTTTCTTCTGTAATCTGCTGATACATGCAGAAGATGAAAGACTCCAGTAGCTGCCTTCAGCTTCTGACTCCAGCGTGGATGCTTTCCTGATGCTTTGCTGGAGTTAATGTTGTGTTTTGAATGGATATGATTTTCCTGTAAGGACTCAAAATGTCACACCTGTGTCTGCACACCTCAGTGCACATGCAAGCCTAACATTGTTGCAAGTAAAAACATGAGAGAAGGTATTGAGTGGATGCCAACATTCTTGTTTTGACAACTCTCCTGTTACGAAATGAGAGAGAGGTAGGGCTATTAGCCACTCTCTAGGCTCAGTTTCCATTGATTTTTATAATCTGAATTCAGCACTGACAATCCAGTGACTGCAACGGTGAGGGTTTTGGGAGCAGAGGCATACTGGGAGCTTGACATTTTTTCCACTGTATTGCTCTTCTGCAGGAGTATTTCCTAATCCACAGCAGGCTCCACTCTGCAGAAAACTAGGGGAAAAAAGAGGGTGCAAAGAGAACAGTCGTTTGGCACTGTTACGTGGGGCAGGTAGAGCACTCCCTAAGAAGTCATCAGAGGTTTTGTGGTTGGAGAAGTCTGTGCAGTGTCTTCTAGAAGGTGTAACATCAGAGAGACTGCATCTTGGCTTAAGAAGGTGTCTCAGTTTTTACCGAGGATGTTTCTGTATTATTTGCTTCCTCTTTTTACCCCATCTTTTTCCTCCTCCTTTGTGTATACATAGCCCTCAGCAAGCAATACCCTGATGTACAATAGTTTTTAATTGCTAAGATTGATTGGATAGGCAGATTTGACCTTCTCATCCTCATGCATTGCATTGTAGGTAACTACAGCAGTAGAGGAAATGGAAAGCAGAGATAGATGTGTAGGCAGCACACTGTTGGAAGATACAGAACTGTATGCTGCTCAAGTCATGTAGAAGACTTGATCACTGACCATTCACAAGTACAATTAGCTTATTTTCCTGATGTTCAGAAGTCATACATGCCACTTAATAGGCTTTTATGTGTAATTTGTGTGCCTGATATCTTTTTAATTACCTGAGTTATAACATAAATATGATGTGTTAGCACAGATATTGAGAAGTTTGTTGTGCATCTACAGAGAAGTCACTGGAGTTGAAGCTGAGAATGTACCATAAGAGCATAAGATGTATCCAGATATGCTTTTCTCAAGGAAACATTTAGGAGGCATAGTGTTATCCTGTGATGCTCAACAACCAAATTGCAGGCAGAACATTGATCTCTGCGTAGATTGGGCAAAAGATCCAGATGGGCTAAAGCACGTACACAGGAGACAGCTAGATTTTTCTCTTAAGGGTGTGATGTGTACTTAACACAAAGGTAAGCTTAGTCAGCTGCTCTAGGTAAACATGGGTTGCTTAGGTCTTCTTTTATATAGGATTTATGAACATGAGGACAGGCTTCTCCTTATGGTTTGTTACAGCAGTTCAATATCATGCTTTTGCATTAAAAACTTGTGTTGAGTTCTAGTTTTCACCACGGGTGAGAGACCACTAAGAGGAGATGCTGATTTCACATCCAGAAAGTGAGCCAAGTAACACCTTAGAGTCTGAAGCCTTTAGCCACAATCCTGAAGGCAGAGAGAGAATCTTTTCTGTACCTGATGATTTCAGTTTCTTCTCATAAGTACTGTTGCTCTTCAGATCCCTTGGCAAGTGTTTCTAGTATGTTGCAGTAAGGATACTCCGTATTAAACTGAAGATTTTATGAAGTTTCTCGGTCTAAGTTTGTATCCTCAAGCAGATTTCCTCCTTCTCGAGCAGTAGATTATCACAGACTGCTGTTATGCTGATTTAAAAGTATGCAGTCAAATGCAGGATTTGGAACCACAAGAATCAGGTCACCTACCGCCACTGCCATTGGTTTTCTTGTGCTTTTAAAGTCATGGTACTTGTGAAGTCTTGTGTGTGTTTTGTGGGCAGGAAGGAGCAGAAATGACTTTTGATCTTGCTGAGTAGTGTCTTTTGGTTTTTTTTTTCTCCTTAAGGCATCACTTACCGTACCATAGGTGTGTATGGATTTACAAAAGATTGCTCATTTGCTGCAAAATAGCAAGTTCACCACAAAGATACACCACCTGTGGCCACGAAGGAGTGGCTGCATCTTCTGTTGTCAAGAGATTTAAATGTGGCCCAATTCCTCTTGATAATCACAGAATAGTAGGGGTTGGAAG